GTCTATTTCAGGACAAGAGATCTTTTGCAAAGACATTGTAAGCAAACGCAAAGAACAAAAATGCTTTCTTAAAGCATTTTATCAGTGCTACTGCTTAGGTGGGGTTAAAAACAAACCCTAGGTTTCTGAACACCAAGGCCTGTCCTTGCTGAATGAAAAACCTACCTTGCTTCTGCTATGTTATTTCAATATCAATGCACTAGGCATACTCTCCTTTGGAAGAGCTGGACCATTGTGCCAACCAGTCATCATCCCTCCCTTCATTCATTAACTTATGCAATCATTCATTCAGTTTCTCTTTTATTCATCCATTCAGTTTAGCCATCACTGGGTTCTGCATGAGGGATATAAAAAGAATGATTTGCAATTCTGGCCACAAGGAGCCCAAGTTTAGAAGAAAGACAGATACATACATAAGTAATTATGGTACAGTATATGTACAAGTGCTACAATACATGAATGCATGAGGTGTTACAGGGCACCTGAGAGAAACATCTACATGGTTTTGGGGAAATTAGGGAAGGTTTCTCAAGTAATAGGATGACCAAATTGAATCCTCAAGGAAGGAGGGACAGTAAAGGCAGGAAAAGAGTCAGATATGGAAACCAAAGACACAAGAACATGATACATTTGGGGAGCAGCAAAGGGTTCTATAGCCAGGATGAGAAGTACAAGGGGGAAGGAATGGTGATTGGACTAGAGGGTTACTAGGCACTCATGGAAGGCCTTGTGGATCATGATCAGAAGTTGTGTTTTGTACTGAAACCTGGGAGTTTTAAGCAAGAGAATAACTTGACCAGATTTGCCCTTTGGAAAGGTCTCTCTGGCTGTGGAAAAGGGATTGGAGAAGGAGGACAAGTCTGGAGGTAAGGAGACCATTGAGGTTCTGGGGAAAACTTCAGGGTGACAACCTAAAATGGTAAGTGCCTTGAAACTAGAGCAACATGAGGCAGAACTGACAGGACTTGGTGGTTGAAAGTAGAAAAAATAGGAAGTGACATCCTTTGAGATGTGACTCTCAGGCAGTGAGGAAAGAGGACTTTTGGACAGCTTCACAGAGTATAAGGTAGTCTAGGAGCCCCCAAGACCCTGATCCCCATCTTCCCAATTCTCCTTACCATCCACCTCTCTTCCTCAGCTAAGCCAGCAATGAAATTTAGAGGGAGATAGCTCTCCTCCCAACATATCCCTTGTAAACTCTCTCAGTGGAGAAATTTACATAGCATCATCTGTTATGCTGGAATATCCTCTCCTCAAACAATCCTTCCCTGCTAAATGAAATAAGCCACTCTTAACTATCTAGCCCATTCCTACTTTATTCTTCCTTATAGCTCTTTTTCCCCTTGACATTATCTAAGAACCAGGAGAGCGAGGATTTTGCTTCTTCACTGATATATACCCAGCACCCAGAGCAATGTTTGATACATAGGATGGTCACAATTAATATTTACTGAAGGAATGAATGAGGGCCTCTGTGGACAGCTAGGAAAGGGCAATTCCCTATCAGTAATTCAAAGAAATTGCTACCCTTGACTCATCCAACTGGGAGACCATAAACAAGGAAAGACTCAGCTGCTCTGAATCACAACCACTCGGTGAAGCCCCACTGGCCTCTTGACAACTTTGTCCCCTTGGCACACTCCTGCTCTGGCTGTGGCTTTGTTAGTCAGTTTTCAGGATGCTAATTCCAGCCAGATCCAAAATGACCTGAATAATAAAGTCTGAAACTGAACCAGAAAAAAGTCAAATCTTGAATGCTCTCCAAAAGCGAGACAGTGCTAATCCAGCTGGGTTTTTTAAAGAAACAAAAAAAACAGAAAGAAAGAAAGGAAGAAAGGAAGAAAGGAAGAAAAGAAAGAAAGGAAGAAAGGAAGAAAGAAGAAAGA